GCTTTCGCCGCTATCGACTTCTGTAGTGGGTATTGGCAAGCCCCGTTGCACCCCGCGAGTCAGCCACTTTTCGCCTTCATGACACCAGATGGGGTCGTGATGCCTACCCGTACTACTCAAGGAGGAACCAACTCAGCTGCTAACTTTCAGGAAAAGGTGGCAGACTGCTTCAACGAACTACGCGAAAATTTCAAGGCATGGCTAGACGACTTTATTCTTTTCGCCACAGACGAGGTGCACCTCCTCCGCATACTCCGCCGTTTCTTCGAGATCTGCCGTGCTCGCAGACTTGTTGTTTCGCTCCCTAAGTCTGACTTCTTTCTCCGAGAAGCTACATGGTGCGGTCGCATTATTGATTCCCATGGTGTACGGTTTAACCCGAAGAACCTTTCAGGACTCAAGGACTCCGATCTCCCCCGCACGGCCGGAGAGCTCTGCGAGTACGTTCACGGAGCAAGCTGGGTCTCTACGAGTATCCCACGTTTCGCTGAACGTGCCGCGCCTTTGCGCGAACTTCTAGAACATGCTTACACTAGGGCAGGCGGAAGCCGAAAGAAGAAATCTATCTCTAAGTTTACCCTCAGTGACTTGGGATGGTGCCACAAACACGAAGCAGCGTTTAAAGACCTCCAAGAGCAGCTGCAAGAAGCAACTCGACTCGCACACCGCGACCCGAATTTGTCCCTTTGCGTGCACACCGACGCGTCCGATAAGCACTGGGCCGTATGTGCAACACAGTGCCAACCTTCTGAGCTGTCGAAACCTATCGAGGACCAAGCACATCAACCTCTCGCATTTCTCAGTGGAACGTTTTCTGAACGTGAGGAACACTGGTCTACCTACGAGCGCGAGGCATTCGCCGTTGTGCAAGCTTTCCGCAAACTAGACTACCTTCTCGCGTGCGACCCCTCCACCCGTGTTTTCACAGACCATCGCAACTTGCTGTTCGCTTTCAGCCCGGTCTCAATGGAACCATCCCTAGGCCGCCACAAGGTACTCAAGGTCATTCGTTGGGCACTCTTCCTAAGTGCATTTAATTATCGAATTGAGCACGTCCCTGGAGATTCCAACATCTGGCCAGACATAATGACACGATGGATGCGAGGCTATCGAAGAGCCCCCTCCATTCGCCGCGTTACAGCTGCGCTCCCATTCAACGGTGTCACTATCCCTCCGGACTCCCCTGAGTTCGAGTGGCCCTCTGCTGCTGAGATCGTTACCGCCCAATCCATACACAAGGCCTCCGCGCCATGTACTGCTAAACCACACAATTCAGGGCTGCTGGCTATCAAAGGGGCAGTTTGGATACCTGAGGATTGTGTCGACCTCAAGCTACGACTACTGACAGTCGCTCACGCCGGAAACGCTGGACATCGTGGTTCAGATGCCACTTGGAACGCACTACGGGAAGCATTCACGTGGACCGACCTCCGAGATGACACTCGCTCTTTCATCTCATCTTGTCTTTTCTGTGTCCTTTCCAAGAGTGGAAACAAGGTCCCACGTCCCCTATCAACGACCTTACACGCCTCCAAGCCAAACGAAGTTATTCACTTTGACTACCTGTTCCTCGGTGATAGTGATGAGGACCGCAAGTACGTATTGGTGGTCAAAGATGACCTAAGCGGCTACTGCTGGCTCGAACCTTCCAATTCCGCAGATGCTACACACACCGCTAAAGTACTAGCTCGCTGGAACCGCGTCTTTACGACACCTAACATCTGGTTGTCCGATCAAGGCTCGCACTTTAAAAACGAAGTGCTCGAGGAACTCGCCAAGACGTATCGAATCCAACACAATTTCTCCGTCGCCTATTCCCCATGGGCCAACGGGACCGTCGAATCTCTGATGCGCTCCATATTATCTGCCACAAGGGCCATGATCGCTGAATTGAAGCTCGCCCCCCAAGACTGGGCTTCTGTTATCCCAATTATCGCTTCTGCGCTCAACGAAACCAGTCTGGATCGCCTTGGTCGCCGCTCCAATGGTATTTCTCGCTCCCCTCTCGAGGTCATGACGGGAATACCTCCTAATCGCCCTGTCCTACGCATTTTACCCCATACTGCCGAAGCTCATGAATGGAGATCTTTGGAACACGCTCGTGCAGCTCAGGTACTGGGCATCTCTGAACTTCAGGACTCACTTGACCAAGTTCACAAAGATGCCGATCGCTCTGTAAGCCTACGTCGTGAAAGAGCCATTGCTGCACACAACAAAGCTACAAACATTATACAACCCTCATTTGTTATCGGTGATTTTGTCCTCGTCCGACGCGCCAACGATCGAGGACACAAACTGCGATTTCGCTGGTTCGGACCGTGTCGCATAACCGCTGTCCACAGTCCCCTTGTTTATGGAATATCTTCTCTACGTAACGGTAAGACTGAACGAGTTCACTGCGCTCGTCTTATCAAGTATCGTGACTCTTTGCTCGGCTCCCCCATACCGAAAGAAATGATGGAACTAGCCGAGCGAACCGAATCCCGCTTCGAAGTCATCGAGAAAATACTGGATGTCGGTGAAGCGCCCGACGGTTTATTCTTTCGCGTTCAATGGGAAGGGCTTCCTGACAAACGCGACTGGACCTGGCAACCGGTCGCCGACCTTTTCGCCGACATACCCGATATCGTTGCAGACTTCCTCAACACGTTCAAGTCAAAAAAGAAGCTCGTGAACAAGGTTAAACATCAGCTTAGCCTTTCCTGAGCAATGTCGCCTCCTGCCGCGACAGACCTCATAGGGGCAGTGTGGCACGCTGTCGCAAATCGACCTACGCATCTGATTGATAATTCCGTTTATGGGGCACTGGTTACCAACAAGTCTACAGTAGCATCCTTGATATGCCTTATATGGGTTTATAGAACCCAGAAGGGTAGTAGCTGATTTCGTGTCGATACAATATAAAGGCCGACCCAACCACTGTTGGGAAGGCAGACAATCACGAACAAAAAACACCGTCACCGCCCTTGACCAAACGCGACTGGTCAAGCTGGTCGTCAGCACTCCGAGCCGTCTCCTCGGACCCGCTTCTCGACCATCACCTTCGCTCTGGGTCACACCAAGTGGCCAACAACCTCGTTCCTTCCTGAGCCGTCCTCTCCAGACCCGCTCACGGACCGATTACGAACTCCGAAACCCGACTCCCTGTCGTTGTGGACTGTGTGCCTGTGGCTGGCCACACTTGGGAGACATTGAGAAGTAGTTGCTCATTGAGGCGGCGGTAAAGGTGACAACGGCGGATGGGGGAGGTTGTGAAGCAGGAGAGGATGATTCTGGAAAAGCTGGCAGAGGCGCTGAAGGTCGATGAGATGGGTTGTGGAGCTCCATTTGAAAGACTGGGAGAAGATGCTAGGCAAGCAGACGTCGGAATATCGGCACAAAGCAGGGCAGGTTGAGTCGACAGGATGTTTTTATTTTCTTGCGTGAATGGTTTTGTTTTTGCTCAATGTCTTGTTTACGACTTGCAGAGTCACGACTTGAGAACGCATTTAAGAGATGGAACCAGTTTGTATGTGAGACTGCCCTGAGAGTGTCAACGGATGTTATAGGGTGAGTGCCCATTCACCAGTGGATTTTAGAGAGATCTCTTGCAACGGTTTTGCGACTTTATCAGCGTTGTCGGCACATGCCAACATCATTGTGGAAGTATCCGCTTTAGTTCGTGGAAGATATGAAGCGAATTGATACTGCAACCGCTTCACAGTTTGGCCATGTGGTTCCATGCAGAGCTATGACAGCACAGTAGATGAGGCACTGCTGTTAGGGCACATCAGACACGCACACATGAAAGCCACAGTCGGCCCCCTCTCCACAGGAGGAGGGAGGCATCGGTGTTCTTTGCATCACAGTTCATAGCCGAGGACAGGCGGATGAATTACCAATTTAAAGTTTACTTGCCAAAACCCATAAATGCAGGTATGTCATACAAATATTCTGCAAACGGTTTCCAAGTCAATGAACCAGGTTTATACGGCTGCAGAATTTGGCATCCTACGGTATTGTACACGGGATAGTTTTAGGTGTGTTGGGCCTACTCTATTTGCGAACAATTTTGTCGACAGTGCTCTTCTAACAGTGACAAAGGTCTACTATTCGGTGAGGGTATTTGTAAAAGATCTACTAACTTCGCTGTATGTCTGTAACTGAGACAAAGGTCTAGTAGGCCTTTGTCTCAGTTACAGACAAAGGTCTAGTGGTCTAGTACGCCCATTAGATATGTGCAACTGGCAGCTTCTCAGACCTGAGAGATCACGTCAGGACCAAGAGAGTCCGGGGATGGATGAAAGCAGTGTTGGCTGTGCGTGCACCTCCTAGAGTAATGGCACGAAACATAAGCCTTTATATGCCACACCAGAAGTATTGTACAGTACTTGTACAGTTAAGCAGACACTAAAGAGATCTGTAGATTGACGCTGAACGCATTTCATCTCAGGAGAACAAGGGTACTGTACTTCGGGTTAGTTGTACTGCATGACTGCAGGATGCAGTCGGACTCAGCGACGTCCTATCTTTCGCTGCACAGCAAAGGAATTGCTACGGCATTGCTTACGGTAAACTCTTACGTCGCTTGAGCAATGTATTTGTTGAGACTTAGCGAGAACCATCCACAGTGACGCACTCTTCTTCACGTTTGAATTTCAGAATTCTGTGACTGCTTCTTTCCGAAACCCTGTAAAAATAGTGCTGGGTAATCGTGCTGGGTAATCGTGCTGGGTAAGCTCTCTACTTTTTTTGTCCATACATTCGCTTCGCGGGAGCCATGTGTTGTGGAGAGAGTATCTTTCTTTTCTTATCATGAAAGCAACCTCAAATAAGGACACGTGCCATCTAGACTCTGCGTAGCCTGGCGGACATGTTAAAGCTTTATGTGCCTGGCGTGAAGACGCGCTTCACCAGAGTGACGATGCGCCAGGTTGGCATGTGGTGTTACAGTACGTCTATACCACACCACGCCATTCCCAGAGTAGAGACAACAATAGGATGGGGCCGCAGGAGCGAGCATGGCGGGAAGAGGGATAAGAGACATCGATGGGAACGGAGGAGGCTCCATCGTGATTTCCTCCATCTCACGTCGCAAAAATGCAGCTCACCGCCTTCAGTTGATTACAGCTACTGTACAAGTACGAAGGTACAGTATTCGTGCCACACCGTATCCATTTTGCAATTGCACCTACGTATCAAGAAAGTACGCAACGCATCCATCAGTCGTCGTCTGTAATCTCTGCCCTGCCTTTTTCTGTAGCCCTTGAGTTGCTTACAACATTTGTGCTTAGGGTGACCCCACCGCGCCTTGCCCAAAATCGCAAAAAGCAGACAGTTGTCCTCCGGTAATTGGATCTACTATCTTTTAATCAAGCCGCGCTTTGGGGGAGGTGGTGATTCAGAGATGAACCCCACCGCGCCTGTAACACGATACATCTATTCATATTCAGGGTCACCCCAATTAGGCTACAAGTATGTCGTAGAAATACATTTGGCGCAAAGAAGCAAGCTACTGCACGCGTCTGTTCCACAATTGGCGGCAACTTTTGCTCGTCACTTGCCCGCTCTCCATAATATGTAGGCTCCTGTTTGGGAATTATCAACTCGGCAAGTACACCACGCTTTCAATTCGCGGCGTTCTCAGACACTGCGCTCTCAGCAACGCACAGGGCAAGATTCTCCTCGTCTGACCACCCCAGTCCCTTACCCTTTTTCCTCACTCTTAATGCCGAGTCATCAGTCCTAGTAACCACCTCAGCCATTGCCTGCACTTCTCAGAAGACGAGAAGGAGGGAGAAGATGGGAAATGTCCACGAGCGAAGGCTGCACAACACTCCTTTTTGCGTCCCACACTATTGATGGGACTTCAGTCAAAACAGCCCCAAAGCCATTTGGAAGAGCTTTGGTAGAGCTGTAAGCACATGAAATTCAGATGTTTTCTGTACCGTTACTATAGAACGAAGCTCGCCCAAACGGCGCTTTGGACAAAAATCTCGACCAAATAATTTTGGTTTGGAAAAGAATCCTTCCCAAATTCTAAACTTTAGGACAAATGGTGGCGCGGTGGGGTTCAAAATTTCTTCCGTCGGTCCGAACTTTAGTCCATCGGTCCAAACTTTAGTGGTTGGAATTTTAGGACAGAAATTTTGTTGGCGGTGGGGTCACCCTTACAGGGGGGGGGGGTCGCGATATAGTGCCATCTTTGTTAGTGCCAGCTCCAATATAGTGCTACCGTTCTGCGGGTGGCACGCATTTTGAGCCAAAAATGAAGGGTCTCCAGAGAGGCAGTTGGATGGACGTACTGCCCGAGAGCCACTGCCGCCACGGAAAGTTATTATGCAGTTGCTACCTCGAATAGACTATGGCGGAAAAAGGCAGGGTCGATGATGCAATTGGACATCTGAAAAAGTGTAGGCTGGCATTTATAGCTGCGAGAAAGGAGGAAGTCAATGCGACGGCTCGGCAGCCACTAATAACAGAAATGCTTGATTAGACTTGAGTCCGTAGTGAAGATACAAAGCATGAGTGATGGCGTCCTGCGAGCGATCTTTCTGAGCAGTGATGCAAGGAAGTGGCTGCAAAAAAGCCGTAAATCTCATTATCTAACAGTGCCTGGTTCGATATAGTGCCGTTTTCGGCCCACTGACACAGGGTAGCACTATATCGCGACCCCCCCTGTACATGATTATCCTGCATGGTTTCCAAATCTTAGATGCCTAAGGGTGACCCCACCGCGCCTTGCCCAAAATCGCAAAAAGCAGACAGTTGTCCTCCGGTAATTGGATCTACTATCTTTTAATCAAGCCGCGCTTTGGGGGAGGTGGTGATTCAGAGATGAACCCCACCGCGCCTGTAACACGATACATCTATTCATATTCAGGGTCACCCCAATTAGGCTACAAGTATGTCGTAGAAATACATTTGGCGCAAAGAAGCAAGCTACTGCACGCGTCTGTTCCACAATTGGCGGCAACTTTTGCTCGTCACTTGCCCGCTCTCCATAATATGTAGGCTCCTGTTTGGGAATTATCAACTCGGCAAGTACACCACGCTTTCAATTCGCGGCGTTCTCAGACACTGCGCTCTCAGCAACGCACAGGGCAAGATTCTCCTCGTCTGACCACCCCAGTCCCTTACCCTTTTTCCTCACTCTTAATGCCGAGTCATCAGTCCTAGTAACCACCTCAGCCATTGCCTGCACTTCTCAGAAGACGAGAAGGAGGGAGAAGATGGGAAATGTCCACGAGCGAAGGCTGCACAACACTCCTTTTTGCGTCCCACACTATTGATGGGACTTCAGTCAAAACAGCCCCAAAGCCATTTGGAAGAGCTTTGGTAGAGCTGTAAGCACATGAAATTCAGATGTTTTCTGTACCGTTACTATAGAACGAAGCTCGCCCAAACGGCGCTTTGGACAAAAATCTCGACCAAATAATTTTGGTTTGGAAAAGAATCCTTCCCAAATTCTAAACTTTAGGACAAATGGTGGCGCGGTGGGGTTCAAAATTTCTTCCATCGGTCCGAACTTTAGTCCATCGGTCCAAACTTTAGTGGTTGGAATTTTAGGACAGAAATTTTGTTGGCGGTGGGGTCACCCTAATCTCTGGGCGCACTGCCAGCAGGAGACCACGTGAGGCTGAAGGAGGCGACACACAGTGCGTACATAGCCAAGTACAGTGAACCCTCCCGATAAGGATCACTCTCCATATGGATATCCTCCGTAAACAGTCTGGATCCAGGTCAATTTTGGGATGGGTAAAGTCCTGGGCGAGCAACACTTGTCAGGCAGATATTGGATTTAAAAAAAGCATGTATCTCTCTCCTATTGGCAGATGGTGGTGGTAAAGGTTGCGCCGTCGGTTCCTGGGGTAGTTATGCACATCGTTAAGGCCGTGGCGCTGCGACCGACGCCGGATCGCACACAAACGCCAATTGCGCGACAGTGGACGCGGCTCCGTTCCAGTTGCGGGTGCAGTCTGAAAGAGGAGATCGAGGGAAGGGCGGCTGGGGTATTTTTTTGGAGAGGAGATCGCGGATACGCCGCGCGCAGACGGCGCAGCGGTTGCATGTGAGTTGGCTCACTGCCATGAAGAGCGCACTGGGTGCGTTGGTTGCGGCCGTGAGAATAATGCAAGGAGGAAGAAGCCGCTCTATTCGCTGGAAAAATTCGTAGGAAGGGAAAGGGCAAATCGTAAGCTTGTTCCAAGAGAAGTGGCGCTCTCGTTCATTACATTTGGACTTAATGTCCGCGATGAAAACGTTCCAGATTGGATGCGTGCTGAGGGCACTCGTGGTAATATAAAACATGCGATCGAGAACCCTTTTTATCAGTCGTGCTTTTCCCGTGCTGTCGTGACAGGTTTGCTATGTGACGTCATATACAAAGTGGCCGTAAGCGCTCATGACAGGCATGTGAATATTCACAAAGATACGAATTTGGGTTCAAACGGAGATATTGAGCGAGCAGCTAATCTGCTCCTCTCTGCTCCCATGTGCGCCAGCTGCTACCAAGACTGGGGTGTCCTCACAAAGAACTCGGCACGAGCGAGAGCGAAAGCGACCAGCGCGTATCAGAGATGGAGAGCAAGACGGCGGTCAGAATCAAGGGTCGATATTGGACCTTTCGGTTGCCGAAGAATTAAACCCGACGCCAATCACTGCTACGTTTGTGTAAATGGAGTTGCCGTTGTGTCTACTGAAACGCGGCTGTCACGGGCAACGCGACTGTGCGCAATTGGCAGGACCGACTGGGCGCAGTTCACTACATTGTTCGCGAATACAACCTCCCTGCCAGCCGATATGATCGAGGCTCTTCGCGATTCTGCGGCCCAGGCGAAAGTATGCTCAATTCACAGCAATGCGATTCGAAGGTGTGAGGATGCGGTCCACAAGCAAAAATTTACTTGTGGTCTCTGCCGGCGGCGACTACCTCGAAATTCAGGCAGGCGGCTTTCTGTCCCGGAAGATGAGGAAGAGGCATTTGAATTTGAGTGCAGAATGGCGTCTTACTTTGGTCGGTCTGTGTGCGCAAATTGGACCTGTGAAATGATTGTATGTTCGCATTGTCGTCACTTGGCTTGCGGATCACCAGGTGAAGGGCTGGAGCTAAATGGATCTACTACATTCGGGAGACAGGTGCGCGCTGCCCAAATCTGCATATCATGGGTATGTATAAAGCTTTCTGTACTTCCTCCGGCCTATATTTCGGAAAGATGCATCTCTGCGTCACGGATTCTAGGCGAGCATTCGTCTGGCAAAGCAGTCATAGTTCGGTTACGTGATGTCAAAGCAGTCTTTGCAAGCTGTTCTACTCCAGGAAGAGTGCCTGACTCACGCACCATACGCGACTGCGTCATGCCTCACATTGCATCCGTTGGAATTAGGATGGAGATCGCGCCCGGGAGGGTAGGGGCTTTCTTCTACAATTCTACAAGCGCCTATTTTCTGGCTTTGGAGAAGCACGCAGCGGAGCAGACAAGTAATCGTAGCGCAGAGGATCTTTTGACTTTATCTCAGCTCGCAGAGCAGAGACAAAACGACCTTAAGACGCTCGTCAGGTCGTTTAGGTTCGACGCTGTTTTCAGCTCTGTAGTCGCTGCCACATTTTCTGCGGAGTCCTCCATTGAAGCAGTTCCACGTCGTTTGTGGCTTTCAGAAATGCTCACGCTCGCGAGTCGCGGCGTACGACAGCGAGCGAAGCGACAGGTTGCCGTAATGAAATCAGCGGCATTGGATGGCGACAAGAGCGCACAAGCTATCGCGAGAGAATGCCGCACATTTCGTGACATATTTCCCTTCAGCAACACATCAATTCCACCTTTGGATGGAGACGATGTACCGCCATCGCTAGCCCGATTATGTACTCAACTATACAAACTCGAGATGGAGGCTCGTCTTGTAGATCACCGAGAGCGAAAGACTGGCCCCCTCATGCTGGCCGCGTCGTCTAGTTGCGCTACATGGATGTCCAATGCTGCACACACAGCTCTAGCAAGGCTTGGCGTTATAGCACCGGATAAAACTGCATATCGCGTACAAAATGCATTCGAGACTATGCTCGAACGCGCGCCCCTGGGGCCCATGTCTCTTCTACCAATGCTCAAATTCGAACATCAGTTGTTCGTGGCTTCTATAGACAATATCAATATCAAGAATTTACACGCGTCACTCTCCGATAGCCACTCCCAGCGTGGCTTAAATGGACTTGCAACGCAGGTGGTTGGATGGGCAAGGACCTATCCTGATAAATATATGGAAGCTGATGAGGACTCCTCATCCGGGCAGCGCAGAATGGGGTTTTTACCGCAGAGTATTGCAGAAATTCGACGGAAGCTTACAGGTGGTATTTCGTCGAGCACTGCCTGCACAAGTGGTGTTATGTAGTTAGAGGGGCAGCTTGGTACAGTATGTTGGCTGGACTTGAGGGCTACAGCTGGTAGGCAGGCGCCTTGGTTTGCTTTTATCAGATGCTGTGTTAGTGCTGTGCGTGTGCCCTGCCTCAATACAGATGGGCGAGGGAGTTCTGCTTAAATGCACTGCTAAAAGGTTCATGAAAGAACAAAGGAACATACGGATGGGATTCTATGCTACATTATTTGTTTGTGGGGAGCACCACATAATTACACTGGAGAGAGTGCATTCAGACTGCATCGGCCATGCAATAATTGCATTCAACTGAGTTCGATGATCAGAAGCAGGTTGCATTGCTGGTGTACTGCCATGCAATTATATGAGATCAACCAGTAATGATAGACATGCATTGCTGTGATACACTTGTGCAAAGCATAATTAATACTCTGCCCTTTTTGAGATAAACCGACTAGCCCAAAGGGGCATTGGAAGATCTTGATTCTGTGTTGTCAAACTGGAGCGGTAGAGTTCCATCGAAGAGCATGAGTTGCAGAGTCTCGGCTAACGGGCTGTCACGCTTCGTCAATGGATCAGCCGGATTCGCTGAACCAGGTATCCAAACAACTCTGTTAAGCTGATGTGTTTCGAAATGATAGCGCAGTAGTGACACATCCGCAATTATTGACTTATCCTGAGGTGTACGGCACGTCGAGAGCGATGAAAAAAGGTATTTGGAGTCGACAACGACACAAAGATGGAGCTTTGTGTCAAGCAAATGTTTGTAGACCTGTGCAATCAATTTCCCTTGATCGATGGCTTCACCTGCTGCGAGTACCTCTGCTGAGGCAATAGATTTGGTAGGCCTCTGGGAAAGATGGGAAGTCCATGCAATAGTGTGCATGTGAGAACCATGCGATAGAGGTCCAATCAGCAGTCCGCCGACATATCCAAGCTGACCATAATCTGAGGGCCGTCCAGCATCTGCAAATAGAACAATAGTGAGTGGATGGGGTCCTCTTGACACTGGCTTCGAAAACGTCGTGACAGTTCCATACTGCTTAACTACTTTCAACATAGTACATTGCTTGATGATGTCATGTACAGTAGCGGACCCTTTTGTCTGCTGCAAATGACTGGACGTAAATGATGCGAAAGGACTCACTGTTGTCCCTAGAAATCCTAGCTTTCCATTAATTGACTGGAAAGAAAACAGCTCAACTGAATTTAGAATATCCTCTGGGCTTTTTCTGCGGAGTCTTGTCAACGTGTGCGGTGATATGGCTTTGAGTTTCTCCTCGGCTGATAACCTGATCGTACCGTTGTCTTCTTGCTCGATAACCATTCCAAAAAAATTGAACTTACCAGGGAGATGTACAAGAGTTCCAATTCTGTAAAATGATGATAAATCATGAACAAACGCTTTTCTGTCTGCATCGCATCCTGCGATCAATAAATCGTCCACCACTTTGGCGACAATTAGCTTCAGCACTCCATTGTGCTTTTGAAAGAAGAGCTGAGGTACATAGGCAACAACATCAAGACCCATGCCCAATAGTGTAGTGTCGGAGTGGTTCTGCCATTTGGCATTTGCGTTCACCAAGCCATATGATGCAACTTTCAACAACCAGTAAAAGTGCTTCTTTGTACTATCACGTGGGGGTACCACGTACACATCTCTTTGTGCTTCACCAGACTGCAAGAAGGCACTTTTGATATCGACCTTGGTTATGAGAAAATTGTGGAGAACAGAAATGGAAAGTAAAATTCGCATTCCAAGCGGAGGACACGCTGCTGAATCCGTGCGGAGGTCATTCTTATCATGATCGCGGTTTTCATGAGGGGCGATCCGAGCTTTGCATGTCTTACTGCCGTCATCTAGATTTTTGATTTTGTAGAGAACGTGGCTGGAAATGATGTTGGCATTGCGAGGTATGTTTGAGACATGAATGATGTCGCATGATTTTTTGAACTCTTGTTCTTCAGCTGTGTATGCATTTTCAGTGATGTGGGTAGGCAGTCTTTGTGCTTGATGAAGCATGAATTCTTTGCTGGCAAATCGGTTATAGAAGAATTGTAGATCATGCTGTTCTGACGAAGTGAGTTCAGTTCCAGGCTGAATTTTTATATCGGCTGCAAGTGCTTGATGTGTAGCGCTGCGGAGGTTCATTGGGTGTACTGATGGGCAACCGGGCATATATGTAACGTTATCGATTCTGGGTATAGACAGACAATCGCTGGCTGTGCTGCTGTTGGTGTGGTCGGCCTGAGCTGAATCACTCTGAGGTGGTACATTATTATTGTTAATGCCATCGAATTGCGCATCTGCTTCTGGAGATCTAGAATTATGTTAAGTGTTGGTAGAACAGTCATCATCCAGTTCATCAAGTTCTTGCATCATAGAACGTTCGCAAACATCTAGCGCTTCCTGGACAGCGGTGAAGAAATCATTTTGTGGCATGAAGGCGTGTCTGGTGTCTTCTATTGCTGGTTGGACATATTTTCCTTTAGTGCCGGCTACAGTGACTGTTTGCGATTCTTGATCATATTTCAGAACAGTTGTAGGCACGGTCCAATGTCCTCGTTTCTGCTGCGCATGCTTCAAAAATACCTGAATGGTGTCACCGACTTGCAAATGACTTGTTTTGATCGGCTTAGTACGCAAAATACGGTTGAGCTTTCTCTTTGCGTGGAGCTGCTCATGTGCGGCGCGAATGTCCATTGGGAATGTCAGTGGTGAGGAAAGGTTGCCAACCCGGCGGGTGTATCCCTTTGCGAGCTCGTGTGCTGAAGCTATGTCATTTCCGTATAGATTGTTCGAGATTAGGAAAGCCTGTGTTGCGAGAAGGGGCAACGATGTGCTCTGATTTGCAGAGAATAGCCGAAGAAATATATCTCTTATAATTCTGTGTTTCGACTCTATAGCATTTCTGCTATGCCGACGAGGAGGGATAGAATGAAATTTGGTCCCATGAGATTTCAGATACTGCAAAAACAGGGCGTTGTCGAAAGCTTTGTCGCCTCTGACAGTGGCTGGTGACCAAAAGGCAGATATCCAACACAACTCGAAAGCCTGAATACAATTATTCATATCGGTACTGGGAACAACTGAGCCTGTCGAATATCGCGTCTGATAGTCCATCATATGAAAAATGTTAAGGTCGTTCAGAAAAAAGTGGTCAACGCAGACGACATCATTAAAGTTGGCGGACATAGAGCAAAGGGAGACAGCTCTATTTTGCGTAGGTAGAGATACAACATGACAATGAGGACACGATTCCAATAACTGAGAGAGAAATGACACACACTGGTCATCCCAAATCTTATTTCTCTGCATGAGAAGCTTGATGTCCCGAAAATTTGAATGGCCGCATGTATGGGCATGTACACGCTGAATAATTTTTTCTTCTCACTCCATGACACTTGAGCTGAGGCCGAAAGGCCGCATATCGCTGTAGACCTTGGGTCATGGACTGAAACGTACTTATCATCAAAACATTTGTGGCTCGGCAAGTAGCTGTGAAAATCGTGATCGATCAATTGCAATGTGTTTGTGTCATTGGATTGTGGTAAAGAAAATTGTAAGAAGTTTCCTTTGCGGTGAATAATGTCAGTATGGCGAGTTACATTGCGTCCAATTATCCAGGGTGAAGACCCTTCAATTATTAAATGTCGGATTTCCATCTTGACGCCCTGATCGGACAGTAAACTTAGCAACTGAGAGCCAAGTATTTTTCTGCGCGAGCTGGCATGGTTTTCCGAACCATACTGCCAAAATGGCCTACACGCAACTGTAGCGGGTAGTGGGTCCCACATGCCGTCAAACGAAGGCATAATTGTGTCCTTCAATTCCAAGAATTCTTCTAGACCTATGCCACTGTACGGAGCGCCGTCATCAATCAGAGGGCCTAGTTGGATTTTCTCGTCATGGTCTGCGTGAGGGCGAATACTCGAACGGATCTTGGTAGCATTATTGCTGCTGAGACTGACCATATGAAATGTTACTGTACCGGTAGAGCCCCTATTAGATTTGGTTTCAATGCATTTTTCCAAGTCATGAGTGACGTCGTTATTGCTGTTCTTACACTCCTTATCGCCCGCCCAATGTCCCTTCTGCTTACATGACTTGCAGGTGGAGACCTTCTTTAGGGAAGCTAATTGTTCAGGTGATCGGCGATACCTAAACTTTCCATTTTGTGCGCGCGGCGCGCGATAGTGCGGCGGTGGGCGATAGTGCGAAGAGTTTGCGGTAAGAGTAAAGGAGTTGGCGGGGTTGGTCATCGATGCATGAGACTGAACTTTGTCGAAAGAGCGGATTATCGATGCTGAGTCCTCGTACTTGATTTTGTTTAAAAGAATCGAGGCGTTTTCGTGAGATGTTTCTTCGGTATCCGATTTAGGAGCCACGGCTGAGAGGACAGATACTCGCTGAGTGTCCTCTAAACGCGCATTCGCAATCATGATAATTCCGACCAAAGATTCAGGGAGAGAAGAAGTAGTGCCCTGGTATCGGCATACTGCAGCTTCAAAACGAGATTCGTAGTTAACGAAAGATTCGTTGCTTCCACGAATAGTCTGCAACAAACCGTTAAATTTGCTAAAGGTGTCCATGACAACTGAAAGAGGATCACACTTGTAAATACATTTTGCTACAGCCATTGCCCCATCTACAGCAGTAATGTCATCGTCTGGGACTTTTTCAATCAGATGTACTGCTCGACCAAAAAGCTGTGATTTCAAAATAATTCCTTGCAATTCGTTGGGAATCTTGTTGCTGTTCATCCCCGGTAGCTTGTCGTGAAAGGATTTCCATAGCAGCACTGACTTGTAGTATTTTTCTTGCGCTTCTTTGGCGTCGGTCCAAGGAGCATTCTTGATATCCCAAGAAAATTTGGGACGCGAAGGTAGGTCTGGGCCCATAACTATGTAGTTAGAGGGGCAGCTTGGTACAGTATGTTGGCTGGACTTGAGGGCTACAGCTGGTAGGCAGGCGCCTTGGTTTGCTTTTATCAGATGCTGTGTTAGTGCTGTGCGTG